TCCAAAAACACAAATTGGTGTGACACACCACACGTATATCCAAAGAGTACACACAAACTCGCAGATCGTGTCTCGAAGTAATTCCTATGAAGAATAGCAGGACTTAGAGCAGTACGCCTACATTCCTATTCAGCTTGATGGTCCAAGTGGAAGTCGTACGGACACAAACAGAATTACCAACAGACAGATGAGAGATGATATCAATTCAGTATATACAATATGAACATAAGTACAAAATCACACACCAAGCACATTGGACTGCTCATTGATGCGCTACCCTTTGAAGAATTGTAGGACTTACAGCAGTACGCCTACAACCCTTCTCAGGTTGACGCTCTAGGTTGGAAAATCGTCGCAGAGTTCATTTGATGACTTCCTTCTATCATCCATATCCTCAACTATAAACGGTAACACGCCCATATCATTGTGTCGTAGAATATAGATGACGAATATAAACACACGACGTATGTGATCAACCAAGCGTAGGCACAGAGTAATTTACACCAAAGATAATAGCATTCAAATAGTAACTTGAAACTAGAAACGCCTTTATTCGTGCAAGTCAATTTAACAATTACTCTCTCGTTTACACTTGGCTTATCCTCACTAAACTGAGCAATATCTTCCGTCTTTTCAAACGGACTGATACTAGCATAGTTACTGCACAAGATACTTGAGTTGATGGGCGTCCTTCTCATTGTGGATGACAGCACCAACGACGACTGATTGATACCAGTTGATGAAGTTAGCGGTGGATCAGAAGCTGTTGTTGCTCGACTTTCAGAAATTTGTCTACCTGCAAGACCACCGCCACTGCTGTCTTTTACTATCAGCTCAGGTTTAGCACTATCATCTGATGATAGGTGGGCTACATGCCGATCACTCACACTGACGGTCTGACAAGTATGCATGCCTTCTGCAACTGCACCTGCATTTATTTCTACTTCACGTTGTAGTTGTACAGAACTTTTAATTAACTTAGCAGCAGTAGGCATATCTATCACCTCATCATGATCAACCAAGGACAAATGTGAAGTATCATGATCATTATCCCGAATATTCAATTTATCATCATCTATCTGGTCGACTTCATCAATTTCAAACTCTCTAATAACAGAAGTAGACAATTTTGGTTCCTTCTCACAAATCCCAAAAGATTTTATACCTTCACTCTGACTACTAATACCTCGTAAACTTGTGGAGTGAGAACTGTCCTCTGAGACTGTAACTCTCTTCTGTGGCATACTATTCAACAATGGCTTACCAGTTGCAACTGCAGACTTCCTAACCACACCGCTATCGTCGCACAATTCTGAGTCAGACCTTGATTTCACATTTAGCTTATCACTGAACTTGCTCACTGATTCACAGTTCACCTTTGTATGCACCTCTTGCAAACGTGTAAAACACAACCGTGTTTGTCTTGCATCTTGTAACTTATCTGTTGAGGATGTACTACGAAACCTGTTACACTCACTAGGTCTATATGCATTACTAGACATCATGGAGCCTTCTAGATATCCACCTCTCTGAGGCCCTTTCGTCCTCAATGATTGCGTTTTACCCTCAGACTGCTCTATTCTAGGGGTGATATTCAATATACTGGCAAACTTGCTCATAGATTGATTGACACTATCTTTTACTAGTTTCAGGATATCATCAAATTTTGGCTCGATACCCTCATCCTCCATACGGGAGCTTATCTTCACCCACTTCCTTTGCAGTCGAGTAGGTAGGCGTCTTGCTATTACTTCTAGGACGGAACTCGAGTTGGGGTCACTCATGAAATTCATCGAAATCAAGGTATTCTTATAAGTCATAAGATTATCTAAAAACTCAGTAAGTGCCTTGGAGTCATCTTGAAGCTGACTGCCGTTACCTTTGACAGCTTCGTATACGTTCCTTACAATCATCGAAGGTCTTCCAAACCTTTGACGTAATATGCTCATAGCCTCAGCGTATCCCTCATTAGGGGGCATGAGCTTACAGCACTGTATAGCTCTTGAAGCATCTCCAGTGCAATACCTCGTCAAATACATCAATTTCAATTCATCACTTAATAAAAACTACTCAGCATGATCTCAAACTCCTTTACAAATTGTAAATAATCAACCGGGTTTCCATCAAAACACCGTGGTTCAAATTTAGGGAGTTTGATGTTCCTATTATCCCTGAACGGCGAAACAGTAACATCAACCATGTCATGCTTAACATCAGACACATCGTTACAATTAACAGACAAGTCACCATGACTTACTTTCCTGTTTGCATCCAAGACACTCTGTCCCTTCTTTGACCCAGGCATTGTTGAACTTGACCCAATTCCAAAAATGTTCCAGATATTGCTTGTTCAAAGAGGACTTGACCAGCACCAGGAAAGGTGAACGGCGACTATCCAAACTTTCACCAACTGTCTGAATCCACCGGAATCTGTTTCTATCGGCAGAAACTGTCAGCCACGTCTCGTAAACCGTTAATGCTTAGCTCTTGCTACGCCCGGGCTCACGCTGTCGCTTGAAGTTTCTCACAAAGGCATAGTAAAAACGGACGAAAAAACCAAAACACCAATTGTTGACTCGAGGATTCTTTATTGTTACACCAACATATAAATAATGTATAACTAAGGTCTGTGAACAAATATTACAATAATGAATCACAATATTACTTCTGATGGTTTTCTGCTGACTTCTTTCTGAACAGCGACCGATGAGACGATGACTGTCGTATTGATGCCTCCGCGAAAATTGGGGAAGTTGATTTTGAGCAAACAACCATGAATTGATCGTTCAATCTTCAAGTACATTTACAGAGCTTCAACATGAATTGTCGAACCACTCTTAAATTATCTGATAAACCCTTAGTTATGGGGAGAGATACTATTCATTGTGACATTCCAACGGGCACTCCTCGCTCCATCGTGCGAAATAGTTATCGCTGCAGCATCTTCAATGCGTTACATGGCTTATCCCACCCAGTTGTTCGAACTACCGTCAACCTCACAACCAGTCAGTTTCCTTGGCCTGGTATTGATGAAGAAGTAAGGGAATGGGCCCACACGTGCCCGAATGTGCAAGGTAGTAAGACACAGTGGGGTTCCCCTTGGCACTTTTCCTATCCCTAAAGCTCGTTTTGAACACGTTCATATAGATTTGGTTGAGCTCCTTTAAGAATCTCTTGGATATACTTATATCCTGACCTGCATCGACCGTTTTACATGGTGGACCGAAGTAGTACTCCTCAAGGATGTATCTGCTCCAAATGTCACACACGTTTTTCTCGAACAGCGGGTCACAAAGCGTTACAGTGGTTGCAGAATTTTCGTGATGCAGATGGCCAACTCGAACGCGGGCAAGAGCTTCTGTAGGAATTTGATTCCCCTTGTCAATATCGTCCCGGAAAACGACATGCTAACGCCGATGCTCTCTCACCTCTGCCTTATTTTGAAACCGCAGTGAATTTATTACCCGGTACTTCACCACATATTGACAAGTCCTCCCTGCAAGCGGTGGACGCGAACTTACAACCCGTCTACATATGACGACAACATGGCAACAGTAGACCAATATATGGGGAATTACGAGATCTGCCAGCAGCTACATGGTGAATCTGGGGTATATGAGGCCTGCCAAGACTAATAAACGATGTCATCTACATAGGGGAACCGAATTTCAACTCACTTTTCCTAGTTTCAAACGTCAAATACTGGAGCTCATCAGTCAAGTACGCCACTAACTTGGGCCTGCTTTTCAACACAAAAAGGAGCACAGCATCCGCCAGCGATTTTGGTGGCCATTGCTTCGTCGTGATATGACCGAGTTCTGAGAAACAAGCAACTTACACAAACACCTAGAGTGCCCTTTGTACTTATGCCAACCTAAGCACGAATCAGAGGGTCGACATTGATATAATTGGGCCACTTCCAACCTCAAAAAGAGGTTGCCGATATGTCATAGTGATGACCGATTATTTTGCAAAATAGCGCGAGACGGTACCTCTACAGCAGCGAGATGCCAAAGGCGTGGCCAGGCGTTCACTGACAACTGGGTAACTCGCTTTGGTGCTTCACAATTATGACATTCTTATGAAGGTGCTGCTTTTGACAGCCTACTTGTTCATCACATCTGCAACGTATTTGGTATTCTAAAGACACGCACGATTGACTATCACCCGGAAGGAAACGGTTTGGTGGAACGTACTAATTGAACAATCAAGGATATACTACGAGCATTCCTTAACCGATTTTCGAGTGACATCTGGGATGATACACTAACTCAATGCCTCCTAGCTCCCGTTCTTCCGTCCATTCCTTCACAAGTTCCTCACCTGCGTCAATTTTGTGCGGCGAAGGATTCCGTCTCCTGATTCAATTTCACGTGCCTCCCTTACTCTCTGAACAAACTGATCACCTAGATTATGTCCGGAAATTGCGCAACCGTTTGGTAACCGCTTATGACTTGTAGCACATTCAACAACAGTCGTCAAGCTACCATCAGAAGAATGTATATGATAGTCTCTTTTGTGGCCCATCTCACTCTATCGGCGATCACATTTGGCCTCACCATCCTCGTGGACTAGGCTCAAAATTCTACTTCTTATGGCAAGACCCTTCGAGATTGTGAGAAAATGCCCGCCTTCAACTTACTTCCTGAAAAACCTTAAGCGGCCGAAAGCCGATATTATTCCTGCACAATACTATCAACTTTAGCCTCATTGCACCTTTAACTTTAATCTTCCTCACTCCGATGAGCCACCACCTGTCAATATATAGTTCCAGTCGCTGTGGGCGCACGCTAACTAGTTCCTTTATTCGAACCCTGCCATGTTTTATTTTCTTTATTCACAGGAAGATACTAGGGAGTCAATTATGTGAGTGATGCGACACAACAATTGCAGGATCTGAACCTTAGCGAAGACAAGAAGGACTGTTGGACTCTAAGACTGAAAACCCGCATGTTTTAGAACTGATTCTCACGGAATAAACGTTCTGTGCACAGCTGTTGTTTTGTTTTCGTTATCTGTGTGCCTGCTACTTTGCTTGTTACACAAGGACATGTTTATTGGAAAAGGCGCGCTCTATGGTCCGTAGCCTTGGCCAAGGACATTATTATTTCTACTAGGTTGGTTTCGACATTAACATATGGTCTCTCACAGTGGTAGATGTAACTTCAGTTTCACAGATAATGCCCAATGTATGGATGTTTAAGTTCATCAAATCTGATTGCATTAATGCGGTCAGTAATAGGATTGGTTACTGTAATAATCTTCAAAATTTAGTACTAGAAGAGTACACAGTGAAATCGCGTAATAACGACATGTTTTAAAAGCTGACTTCCATTGTTTTAAAGTTTGCCTTTTAAATAAGACTCCCAAAAGCGAAGAATCACAGCGAGGGATCTAATTAGATCCCTCGCCGGTTCTTAAGATGGTTCTTAAGAACCATGTTATCCCTAAGCATGTCTTTTATTAAGTGTATTATTCTTATCTTTCTGCTGAATTATTGTCTCCGCATTCCTCCCATTTAGAGGGTGAAATATTTCACTCTTTTCTACTTAATGGTTATGAGGCATTGCCGATAGTCGAAGACGTCTTCGACTATCGGTGCTCAAATTGAATTTCTTTAAGTTGCATATGGTCAGTGACAACAAAGTAAGGCACAGAGTTAGATGGGAAAGGAAATTAATTCAATGAAGTTATTAAGCCGTATCAGTTGATATGGCTAGGATACGCGATAGTCATCCTGAGCCAGTGCTTACTTTGAACAGGAGTACCAGGCGTAGTGGGATTAGGCTAGTAATATTAGAGCGTAGACAGGACGAAACGTTGTGTCGAACTATGAAGTCTTTGACCATATGGAGAGGTGTAGATATCCTGGTTCATCTGTGTGTTAGAAATCAAAGGTTGGAGACTGTTGGTGATGTGAGAGAAAGTCGATTGCAATGGTATAGATATGTTTACTCTTTGTTATTTTCTGAACTGTGAAAACTTTCAGTAGTCTTTATGTAGTGGTGTGTATCTGCCTATGTTGTTTTCACTTACTCTACTTTTACGTGGTTTTACTCGGACTTACTCGATTTCCCGGCAAGTTCTACATTGAAAGTTCAGTTCACTTCAGTTTCCCATCCATCATACCGCTTTTCATTACCGTATAATTATTCTATCCTTGTTTGTTTTCACTGCTACAATTTAAAGAAAGAAAATAAATGTTACTCATATATTACTTACATGTGTCTATAGTTGTCATTAAGCTACACATTTTATGCAAGTTAGTGGTACTACCAGTCCAGGGAAAATGAAATTCGAAACTGTGACCTGTTGGTTGAAAATCAAGCTCTTAAACCGATCAGTAAAAGTAGTCCATAAACAAACTTTGCGTCCTTAAAAGACTAAAACTTATTTAGGATATTTCCGTGGTGTATCAGAATTATTCACAGCTCAAAGTTTACTTTTACAGGTGTTTCATAATATAATTTTTGTATGAATCAAAAGAAGAGCACCCCTGGATTTTCGACCTGTTGAGGAAATAACCATTTTCAATGACTCGTAGTTTTTGGCGTAGCTCGAATTAGTAAGTGTTATTGGTTATTTTAGTGCGTTCTAAGTTTTAACCATTACTACGTTATAGTGCCACTAACAAATTTCCACTTATTGACTTCACATTGTTCAAAGAACAGTGTGAGGGTGATTTCTTGTGAGGAATATTTAGTATAAGAATAGAACTTGTGCACTGTGGTAGAGTATAATTTCATTGTGGGCAAAATTTATTTCGATAGCCACACAGTGTTATACAGTAATATTTACTGATGACGTTCCGAGCACAAATTATTGCTCATAATCATATCAAAGTACTCACACACTCAGTTGTTATACTCTACCACAATGCCCAAGTTTTATCCTTATATCAATAATTTCGATTCCCGTTTTATAAAATGACAAATGCCTTTATGCTTTAAGAAGAAATATCTTCAGGAAATTATAGTGTAAATTGCATAAAGGCAGAGGTGACATTTGTTGAGTGTGTTCTCTAAATGTAGCTGGTTTTTACTCATATTACACATAGAAAACATCTAATTAAAAATTAGCAAAATCAGCGAAGAAAATAAAGTCTACCTGACATTACAAAATAATGCTTTCTGTGGTATTGCAACAGATATTTAATTTTGATTACGTCATGTAGAAATAATAATCATGTGTAAGCCTGGTAGAACTAAAACAAAATTAAGTTGCGAAGTGATGTAATTTAATTGGAATCGGATGCGCTGAAAAGCCGAGAGCTACATTCGAAAGAATTTAATGCTCGTTCAAAAGAGTACATGTTATTAACAAGATGAAAGATAAGGTCTTCACGAGTCTTACATCCGTTGGCTTAACAAAATCCTGTTGGATGTTGAGTTCTGGCACTCCTCAATTTAATTAGCTTTTACCTCTTCCACAAAGATTGTAATCATTCCTCTGATTGACCGACTAGTTTCAAAAGATGTGCAGCAGTTCGAGTCCCCACACACCATGTAGCACACAAAGCAAGAAAACAAGTGGAAAGAAATGCAAAATAGAGACAGTAAACAGATATATTAGGCAAAAAGAATAGAAATATCGAAGAACCATATACTTTTATTGGGTATTATAAGTCACGAGGAGTGGATGCATTTGCTCCAGCCATTGTGAACGATTTTGAGCCATATCACCAATTTTCTCTACCACTCATTCCTCAGGTTACATGTTCTAGATTATTTAGTTACATTTAATGTGTAAGAGTTTCTGATACTACCCAGTGACTCAGTCAAAAAGTAGGTGAAGGGAGACTGTCATCTGAGAGATGTCTAGTTATTGCGTTACCTAATAAATATTTTGATGAACTCCACTTGTCAAAAGTATTTACCTTCGAAAGTAAAGTTATTTTTGCTATGTACTGACAGTTCATTACACTTTCGATGGAGGGTAATATTGGTAAGGTTAGTTCACGAGGACTGTGCATATGCCGAAAATTTGTTTACCAAATTTGCTTTATACTGGGAGTATGCCTGTCTAATGACGCTGTATAACTGTTAGAAAGAGAGAGAGAGCTGGCTGCTAGCCAAATTGGTAGACATTAGTTTACGTCAATGTGTCCCAAATATTGGTCGTGAGAAAAATGAGAACATAGCCTTCGCGTAGGCGGATACAGTTAGCATATAGATGATCTGACATTCAAGAAACATCCATAAAGAGATGAAAGATTAACTTTCAGTGAGAAACAACCAGTCAGAAGACTGTGTTTGTCTGCTAACAATAATCTACAATAACGTATATGAAAATCTATAGATGTGTTGATTTGCTTAATAAACGATTTGTTGCCTGGCCCTTATCTTCTGTTGTTACAATACTACCTTGCAGCTTTACGTGTATCGTCAATAACTAAGTTGATGCGGTTTCCTTGTAATGCCATACAAGCGGAGCTTGATAAGATGTTTATTCTTTAGTTTACGAGCTATATGTACTAGTGAGTGAGTAGTTGAAGGGAAAACACTGACCAGAACAGCGTAAGCGAGTATGTATTGGAGTTTTTGAACTGATGTATAAGATAAGCAACTCTAGAGCCAAAACCTTTTTCTATCCTGAAAAAAGGTATGTTTATATTGAATTACGTGACAAGGGTAAAGTCAGTAGTATAACTTTGAAACAGTTACTGAAGTCCGTTATCAGTAAGAATAACATCTTACTAGACATCCTTGTTGACTAAATGAAACACTCTTCACTATCCACGTCAACACAACAAATGATTATGTCACATTCCACACATACTCTACTTCCCATTTTTGTGAACATACTTGAAGAAGAGTGGTTGCGCATTGAAAATGAAGGTGGATGAAACATGAAATTGAAACAAGTGAAATCTTAAACTGTGATTATTACAGGTGGCAGACAGGTGTCTTTATGTATAACGTTTCATATTGCCTAAAGTAATGGACATTAAAAAATCTAAGCTGCCTTCTTCTGTGTCAAAACACATAGCTATTACTAATATTATTATTCGATATGCATCCTACAAACACAACGTATTTCAACTAAATATAGTCTTTTAATGTTAACACCGTGTTCATTCCTTTGCCCCCCAAGTGAGACACAGGGCTTGGACATTGAAGATTCGGTGGCAGTGACTTTTATTGGGTTGGATTGCCAGTCTCACGACCCACCTCCTCTCTCTAACAGGTTTACTACTAGTTAGTTGTGGTAAGAGAGTAATTCAGCTTGGAATCGAAACCTCAAACCACGTACTTCTTCGGTGGGCATCCTACCGCTGAACTACCGACGCCCAGTGTCAACACCATCCATCCTTAATGATTGAAAGATAATACAAGCCATCTTGCTGGATGAAGGTTCACCGCATAATAGTGTCTTTTTTACTTAAACCTTCATGTGAAGCTTCAGGTATTGATTGTGACAGTAATGATAATTTAAAGATATTGGTTCCAATGACTTTATCACAATGACCCTAATGACTCTTAAAATTAACCTTATGATCTTAAGTTCTAAACGTGTAAAAAAAATTGTATGTTGAATGGACTCCTTCCAGAAATCAAATGATGCTTGTATTATGTTCTCATTTTATTTTACTACAAATCTTTTCTAAAATCTAGCCTGGAATGGTTACTAGATCGTCAAGATGTGATGATACACAGGGCAAGTGATCTGAAGGTTCTTGGAAGTGAAGAAGAATATCAAAAGGTGATGCTTTTCTTCACTGATGGTACGTTGTTTTTATTGACAGCTTCACGCTAATTTTATTCTCCTTCAATATTTAACAGTTATTCAAGCGTTTGGTAAGAACGTAGAAGTTCGTCAACAAGTGATTGCAACTGCGCTAGTGTACTTCAAGCGATTCTATAGTCGGTATGTCGTGTTAATGTAAATGTTGAAAACAATTTTTAAAAAATAATGAAGGAATTCATTTAAAACCATTGATCCATGGTTAATGGCTCCATCGTGTCTATTTCTAGCTTCTAAGGTTGAAGTGAGTCTTGAATTGTTTTTGGATTTTGACATTTATATTTTCCTTTAGGAATTTGGTGTAGTGTCGCAAAAAAATTTAATTGCATCATGCCGTAACGTTGGTAAGTTCTTCCATATTCATAAAGTTAATTCTTTTTCGTACTTTTCGTAGTGCATAGTCATTATTTAGTATACTTTCCTGATGGTTATGGATATCCATACCGTGCTCAAGATGTTTTAGAGTGTGAATTTATTTTACTTGAAGCAATGGTGAGTTTATATTTGGTTAATCTATTAAAAAGTGTATACGTGTAAGTTGCATATAGTAAATATCGGGAAGTATCTTGTTTTGATGATTATTTGGTGTTCTCTAAGTGGAAAATTCTTTGGAGATGTTGGTGATCGACTTAACCACTTGACTTATGGAGTGAATGGGTCCTCTGACTGAATTCAACTGTATCCACTTGAATCTGGGTAATTAGATAGTATCATCAGTCGGTATACAATGTGTCAATGGTATATGGGGTGTATTTTCCCGGCAATTCAGTACTAGCAACAGCTGCAACTCTCTAAGTACTGATATATTTCATATTTTATCATAGATGTTAGTACTGCAACTAAAAATACCTTATGAATAAGTCACTATTAAATTTATTAACTTTACTGAACAAATATGGAAAATTTCAGAAATCCAAGCAATTATGTCTTATTTTAGTTTGTTGATTATAATTTTCATTCTCCTAAGACTGGACTGAAAGTAATGATAAAGTGTTATCAGCGCGATGTAAAGTAGGTTCAGGTATTTACAAGCACTATCTACCTGAGAGAAGCATGCACTTTATCCTTGTGTTATAAATTATCATTAGTATTACCATTATTAAAACAAATTTAGTACATTATGAGCACCAGTGTACCGCAAGTTGTTATTATTATTATTATACCTCATCTACTGGCATACCTCACAGTCAAATGGAATTTCTTATATGACTAGACCGTGTTGCCAGATGACTTCAAATGTTAACCTTAATGGGTTGGGGGTTATGCATACACTGGTGTTGACGTTGAATATCATTATTTCCACTTGTATCAAATGTGGTTGCATTTTGATAGCTTATGCAAATATTTTGAGAGTCTTCTGCAATATTTTTTCCTTTTAGGATTGTTCATTAATTGTCTTTCATCCTTATCGTCCGTTGGTACAGTTCTGTGATGAACTTCGTCCGCTAATGCATGAGTATGCTGATTTATTACTTGAACGTGCCTGGTAAGTCGTGGATGTACTTTCGTTTGTGAACAGCATTTAACATGTTAGGTGGTAGTAAAGCAAATTTTTATACGTTATTAAGATTTCCGTTAGTATAATGTCTTTTTAATTCACCCTTAGATTTTTCTTTATCACAATTTTTATCATCCAACTGAGATTCGAACAGTTGTTTAATAGTCACACCTATTGTTTGAAATAGCGATATCACCTTTGTCTTTGGTTATTTCAGTTTGAACCATGTAGGCGCGAGTGTGTAGACTCTTTGGTTGGGACTTGCTTTTAGGTCTAGTATTTATTCACTGAAGTTTTTACCTAACATTGGTAGGTTTCAGGTAGTTTATGTGTTTAAGATTAGTTCTTACCTTGTATTAGACAGCCTGTATGACTTTTGAACTGTTTTAAACTACCAGTTGATAATTTGTTTGAGGAGACCTTTCCTAGAAGTTTCAATTTCCTTCTTATAAGTACTTATTAACCTCATTGACCAATATTATCTTTAGTGTATTATTTAGCATTTATAATTTTGTTTTTTACAAGTTGTTCACGGATTGATATCAGTTAGAGGCTCATCAATAGTACTCACCCACAGGGGTTTGAACCCAGGACCTCCCGGTTACAAGGCGAGCTTGTATACCATTCAGCCACTGGGACCCGATTCAATGGCTCATGAATTCTAACTTCTACCAATTCGTGAAGGGTGCGTACTGCCAATGATTCCCAAACTAGGATGAAACAACTGTCCAGTACTCCCTGATTTTCAATGGTTCTCTAACTGATATCAGTCCGTGGTCAAACTTGTTAAAAACAAAATTAACCCTTACAAACGAAACTATAGAAAATTTATAATTTTTTTAATCAACTCGAGCAAGCACGTCATGTAATTCAAGTATTTACTGTATTTCTATGCTGTAAATAGAATGGTGGAACATTGATTGATTGTTAACACTAGTAACTAAGTATTCAACTCTGCCTGTTTGTCTGTCTCTTGTAATTTGGAATGATTCATGCTTATTAAAGAAAATGTTGGGTTAAGAGTGACAATCATCAATAAAAGAAATGATAATATATTATTAAGTGATGATCGGAATATAAAATGTTTTTATGTACCATAAAAAAACAGGAACATAAAGGTAGCACTGAAAATTCATCAATATTTACTAATTTTGTAATTTAAATATAAATAAATAAACACTTATAAAGGCGTTAGGTCTAATTTAGTGTATATCCAGCGTACAAGCAACCACTAAGTGACATCGTATGCTGCAATAGTTGTGCAGTCGAAAAGCGCTTTTATCACTAATCACGATTAAGCATTTAGCTGGTGTTGAAAATAAATTTGTTCTTCTCTGCTTAGTTTATAAGTTGTACATAGTTTTGCTATGCCTAGTAAAACTGTTCTTATGTGCGTTGGTAGTGTGTGCATTGGGTAGAGTGCTCGCCAACCGTGCACTAGGTCTGGGGTTAGATCTTCGAATTAACGCCTATGATAAGCCTTGCTTAGGTGGTAGTAAACCCAGAGGAGAGAGAAAGTTGGGTGTGAGGATGGCAACCCTTCCTCTCCAGTAGAAATCAGATCATTTCTACTGAAGCTTCAGTCCACAAAATGCTTGAAGACCACCTATGTTGCACTTGCAATGCGAAGGAATAAAATGGGGAGTTTTTCAAGGCACCACCAAAAGTGACCTTTTCTGTGATGTAATTTTCATCTGCTTCGGGAGAAATCCAGCGGATTTTTTATTATTATTAACTTCTTTCTTTTTCGTTACAGGTGGTTAGTGAATGATAGTTTTCGAACTGATGTTTGCTTACATTATCCTCCATATATAATTGCATTAGGTATGTTATTTTGGTCAAAGGTTACTACTATACGCGTAAAACTTCAGCAGTGTGATCTTATTTAGTTCTGTATTCATTTGCTTCTTGGATATATCACACAGTGAAACAGAATGACGTTTCGAACACAATTCATTCTTCATAATCATCAATTTTATTCACACAACTTCGAAACCTGCGTTTTATAGTTTTCTTTATATTTTTTTTCCTATATGTCGTAAGGGTAGTAGAAAGTGTTGAATCATTCCTACTACACGTGTTTGCAGTTGATTCGATAAACAAAGCTTCCATTATCAATCTCTCCCTCCACCCTGTTGCATTAGATTTCAAAGCTGTCATCTTATCCCCTGCTATTGTATGGTTGTGTGTAATTGCATGTATTAAGTGGTATAGCTGAACTATTCTCCAGATTTTTTTATCGCGTCAACTAATCTAGATCTTCGACAACACAATAAGAAGACGTAGTTTATCTGAAACGTGTAATGCATTTGCGCAACACATTTCGGACATTGTGATCATACACGTACTTGTCATACACAGTTATGTAGAAGGCATGAATTACTACAGTACAGGTCAGATTGTGTACATGTCAAGGTCGCAAATAATGGGTAAGGGGATGATGCAAAGGCGTGGGTAGGAAAGAGAAAAAAATCAAAGAATAGATTGAAAATATTATGAAGTAATTTGAGCCTTGGTTTTAAATTGTATTACCAAGGCAGGTTTAAATCAATCACGAGTAACTTTTGGACACATAAGACAGGTTTAAGCCTTTTTATGTCCAAAGCTTCAACGAATTTAAGTATTTGACCCAACCTTGTTTTATATATGGTTTTAAAGGCATTATTGAAATCAACCCTATGACCCGTCTCTATAATGTGCTTCGCTATAGATGATGTTCGACATCTATTTCCATGATCAACTGTATCCGGCGTTTTTATTTGTTGTTGTAGCCACTTTGGGATATGTTCTGTAGCTATAATCTGCAGAGACCGATGGGTACTCCCCACATAAATGTAAGTAGATAAACAATGGGATGTAACACTATCGTTCGGGTTCTGTGAGGATTTACAGAGGAGCATAGATCTCGTTTTTTCTATGAAGATAAGTTTAGCTGCATAGTGAGTTCTATTAATTGCCGCCTTGATTCTTTGTTCAGTAAGTGACCAGACTTCGTTGATCACCCCTGAATGGCAAGGATATATTAACATCCTTTCTAGCAGCTGATTGGATCGGCAGAGCTCTTTGATTAACACTTCTATAACGCTTAATAAATCTCAGTGGGTAATTGTTATCTAACAATATTTCATTAAGGTGCTGTATTTCTTCAGTTTTGTCGGCTGCACATATACAGTGAATGCGTTTGAACAAACACTTAACCAACGCCTTTTTATTCTGCAGTGGACAGAAACTATGATAATTTAGATACTGTCCCATTCATTTGGACTTTCTGTAGACAGATCGTTTTACTGACACATCTTGTCGGTGGGTTACAAGTACATCTAAAATTGGCAAGCAACCATTATTCTCTGTAACGTGTGTGTTTGTTAGCAATATGCTGTTTCGTACTCTATTGATTTCATTAAGGATTGCTATGGCGCCTGTCGGTTCATCTCAAATGACTATTATGTCATCCACGTATCTCTTATGAAAATAAACCTTTCCAATTACGTCCTCGGCTAGGTTCTTAACATGCGACATGTATATATCAGCTGACAATGGACCTAGGGGGCTTCCCATAGCAACACCATCGATCCAGCGAAAATGCTCGCCTGAAAATGTAAACTTAACATTGTTAGTACATAGAAGCAGTAACTCTTTAAAATAAGATATGGACACTGGTAGTAAGAAATTGTTGTAAGAGATGTAATCACGTAAAATGTCAACCGTCTGTAAACGGGGTACATTTAGGCAGACCATAAATGTGTGGTAGTTGGGATTCCGTGGGCTTTAGTGAGCTGAATTTCTCCCTGTTAATTGCATTCATGTTTAAGAGTTTTACTAGATTATTTGTCACCTTATTTTGTACGTTCTTCACATCTTCCAAAGTGGACTCTTTGGTAAATTTGCCCTTGTTTCCAAGATTGCATAGCATTTTACTTTTGTATTCAATTTTGTCCATTATAACTACACCACAACCTTTAAAGATAATTCCGACAAATTAATTTTAATATGTCGCATGAAATTTACTGCTTTCTGTCCATCCCTCGCTGTTAAAATTAGAGTGAGAAGCTGGACAAATTACTTAATGATGACAAATTTGCAACTCCTTTCCCTGTAAATCCAGAAAAGTACTTTATCAACCAATCTTCTATAACACATTCGTCGCTACAGAAACAAGCCTTATCAGTTGAATCTAAATTTTGTGTTCATCAAAAGCATTTCTTAGAACTTGAAATACATGTACAATTTGAAAATCCATATGACCAACTGAATGCTCTTGTTCTCGTCTCACATCCTGTTTTTTTCCTTCACGTTCTCCAATGGAACATAGGGCTTCAAGCTACTGGCTTGAAGTTTCTGTAGCAGTGTCCATTTTTACAGGATTGGTTTGCTAGCCTCATGCTCAACCTTTCCTCTTTACTAGCATTATTTCTGGCTTAGCGAGGTAAAGGAGTGGGTCGGCCGGGGATCGAACCCCAGACCATGTCCATGGTTGGCGAGCGTCCTAACCGCTATGCCACCGACGCACGTTTCACATCCTATAAAGCATTATTCAGATTGTACTCGCTATTCATATAGAAGAAAAATAATCTTAGGAATAATATGTTCCAGGTAAAATACATTTGATTATGTATATCTGAATAAAACTAGGTTGTAAATATCCAGGCCATAATAGTAGTGGTAGTGATAATATTAATAATAATAACATTAATGACGACACGCTTGTAAAACATGCGCAGGATAATGACAAAACCAAAAATAAGGAATCTAAATCATCAGTAGTAATTCCACACAAAGAAGGAACCTCGGAAATCTTGAGCGGAATTCTTAACAAGGCAGGAATAAAAGTGGCTGGTATTCAAACCCACAAACTCAATTAGAAACAAGCTTTGTCGGTTAAAGGATCCTTTGAAGCCAATAAAACAAAATTTAATTTATCTAATACCCTGCTTGAATGATTTTCAGGTCAAAGAAGTAGAACAGGTGCAATCAGACTAGTGGAGAATGAAAACCTAACAAAATCTAGGTTGGTTGACCGGAATAAGATGAGAAATCTGGAGAATAGTTCAACTATACCAATCGAAACATGCAATTACACACAACCATACAATAGGATAGATGAGATAAGGTGACAGTTTTGAAATCTAATGCAACAGGGTGGCGGGAGAGATTGATAATGGAAGCTTTGTTTATCGAATCAATTGCGAACACGTGTAGTAGGAATGATTCAACACCTGTCCACCCAGACATCTGGAAAATTCTACTACCCTTACGACAAATAGAAAAGAATAAAGAAAACCATAAAACGCAGATTTCGAAGTTGTGTGATTATAATTGATGAAATGATTATGAAGAATGAATTGTTTTTGAAACGTCATTCTATTTCACTGTTTGATATATCTAATAAACGAATTGTCTTGGAATTTTTTGCGTGTCGTTACACTTTATAAACTGTGGAATTGTATGTGATGCTCTCAATTGACTTTTATTTTCTTGTTGCTTAAGTGTAGTTTGAAATATGATTTTTCACCGGGAGTCAGTTGTGTTGACACTGCGTGAATTCCCATGATATAGATATTTATTTCTGATTGTTATTGTAAAATTGTTTGCCTTAGATCTTCAGAATTCTAGGAATAATTGTCTTGAAACTGCTGATGAAGTGGCTGAAAGTTTTGTACTTAGTTGAAGAAATATATATTTCATTACCATTGAAATTCGGAGCATCTTCGCTAATCTGCGTAATACTATGGGAGTTTGTACCGATGCATGGTTTAGCAAAGCCAGTCAGTGAGAAAAACGACATAATTATTAATAAATGTGTGCGTCGGTGGCACATTGGTAGAATAGTGGCCAACTACGCATATAGTCTGCGGTTCGATCCCCGCCGACGTACTCCTTTACCCCTCTAAGCCAATAATAAGGCTAGTAAAGAGGGATAGTTAGACATGAGGCTGGCAACCCCATCCCGTAAAAATAAACACCATTGCTACCGAAAACCCAAGCCTCTAGCTTGAAACCCTACGTTCTACTGGGGGTTTGACGGAATAAAACAATAATAGTAATTAATCAATGTGAGGTGTACTGAAAACATTCTAGCTTTTGTTGTACGGTCTGTTATCAACTCTAAATTCAGTATTATATCTTTCTACCTTTAAAAAAATGACATCTAGGTTGTCTTCAACTAGCTGTTTTAATCGTGTCAAACAATCCTGATTTATTGACTGGTGGTGGTTCATCATCAGGAATGCTGAATTCCAGTCTATCCGGATCATCTAACAAGTACGGTTATTTTACACATTATTCTCAGCCAAGTGTTAATCCCGTTTTAGTTGCTGATCTCTGGTTTAGCGAATTAAATGTAGATATGGAAAAGGTGAGATTTACGGTTGTTTTAAGAGATTATTCTTAGCGTTTTAAAATGTGTGTATATATTGTTTTGTGTGTGTATCTTCTTGGTGTTACATATGTGGAGTTGTGTCTAGTCGCTCTATCTGTTCAACTTTCAACCATTTTGTCAAGAGTGTGACTCTTGCAACCAGGTACACGTGTATGGCTCGTCATCAAATACGTATAAATGCAAATGTGTTGAACAGCATTTCATTCTTTTTTCTATTTATGTTTATTTTAACTTTTTAATTAAAGAGTAGAATAGTAAACACAAATAATACGTACAGAAGTGTGTCTATCTGTCTGCTGTTTACTGTGGTGATCTCATTTCGGAATAGGTTCTTCAATCGAACTAAGTTACTTAGAAGTAAATAAACACGTTAATTGAATATATCGACAGATTCGTTGAACACTTAAATGTTTTAATGCCTTCCTCCCATGTTTTAGACGCAAATTATCTTTTTAGGATTAGTATTTATTGACATTCTGTCTGGTCAACTTTATATATTGTAATAGGTATGTTAAACTCTAACATCCAGATGTATTATTATTGTTCCCTTGAGTTCCTAGTGAAAAATAGGGCTTCAACTGCACGTCTCCACTTGCTTCTGTCTTCTGCTGTACTCTTCACCTGCATCCATGTTAATCCATAATGTTTCAATTCCTCTTCACACGATCACCCTTGCACTGACGTCCCACTCGCCGCTTCCCTTTCGGCCTGGTTCCACTCGAGCAATGGCCTGACGCGCGCGCGATGTCACCCAGCGGCCTCCTCAGCCGCGAGTGTCGAATCCATCTCCATTTTCTCCTACATATTTTTGGTTGGGGATTGGTTGTTGTTTTGTTTGTTCCCAGCCATAGTTTTTTGTGACCCACCCGCCAAGTTTCTCATCCATATAGAAGAACTGACTGACTTGACATTTGTATTGAAAATCCGACTGAATTTTGTTGTTGATGCTGAGTGACGAAGATTTTCAGTTTGATGAATGTGTTTCTCGCTCGCCTTCCCGACTCTCGCTTGATTTGACATCCTCGTCCGTTCCTCCAGATGTAATAATTATTATTCGTGGCTTGGGTTATAGGGGGCGTCAACAGGATATCATCATTTGCCTCTATTCTGTGCATTGTTTTTTAGATGGCTACACTGTCACCGCTAAGCTTTCATTTCCTCTTCTGACAGTCGCCTCCATAATACTCGTAAACTCACACCCGACTGATCGCTTTCCATTCAACTTCCATTTGAGGACCTGGGGTGTGATGTCACTTGAAAGTCTCCTCAGTATATGTCCGATTCATCTTTATTTCCTTGTGAATATTTGTTAAACAATAGGTGTTTTGCTGGTTTTATAAAACCAGGATTTATAGTTTCTAATCCTGTTTGGCCGATTATCTGATCTTCAGTATTTAGAGAGCTAATTCATCTGTTTGTGTAAGTCTTCAGCCTCTTGAAAATGACTCTGGTGTCGTGTGCGCCTTGTAAAAGCAATGACTTGATAATAGTCTTGAAGATTCTGTTCATGTTTCTCGTGCTGAGTGTCGTTAATCCTAACACCGATTTCAGAGTAACAAACTCCTTAATGTCTTACTTATCGATTTGTTCTTGGTTGGCTTTAGGAATCCTCATCCGTGTAATTGAAAGATACGACTTTCACTACATTTCTCCCGTTGATGGTGATTAGTGTTTGCTGTTGGTTGTCAGGTGTCTTCGTTGCCTCTGTTTTCTCTATGTTCACCTGAGGTCCGTTTTAACTGTCTTTTCTCCCACCTTGTTGATTTTCGTTTGTATATCTTCGGGTTTAGCATTTGGAACTCTCAAAATACCATGGAATCAATAAATGACTTGAATCATTTGAATGTGGGTTTATTCCCTGCTTTTGATTCTTCCTTGTAAGCAACCGGGTCACTGAATTAAGTACTGAACTCGCAACCAGTCGGTCTAGCACTGACATTTCAGACTGCCACCCCCCCCCCATATCAGTAAGAATAGGTCATAGGTGGTAAATCTGTGTCAGGCACTTGCGTTCTAACTAAGTGTATAAAGTAGCCAAAGTAACTGGATAGTGAGCTGGAGATGTCGAAAATAAGCTTCGTGTCAAATGACTCTTATCTATATACTTGTATAAGCCGAAGTACGCACAGGAAGATTTGAAACCCAGCAGCGAAAATACGAGTGCTTAGGACACTGAACAACGTCTCCATGTCTGAAGTTGGTTTCTTAGTGAAGATAGATAGCATATTCAGTGACTTGAGATTTGAACCAATAGTGTTTACTAGAATAATGTGAAAACATTTACCCTGATCCAGGAGAAATTCCTACACACATATGGTGTACAATAAAAATTGTTGACTAACCTTTTAAAAATATGTTTCTTAACTAATAATTTGTACAATGTTGAAAAAAACTTATTATTTCACACTATTTCAGGTCCTTGAAATATCGCGTCACTTACTCAACTTGTATGATCTTTGGCGTCGTTTTGATGAATTGGCGGAAATGCCTAATATATTACTGAAAATTCTTCCACGTCCTGTTATTCAACCGCCACATAATTCACAGAACTACACATCTGGGAGTACAGCTAATGTCACTAGTTGTAATAGCGGTACTACGAGTCAATCATCTTCAAGTATTTCTAGTGGAACTCAACAACAACAACAACAACAGCAGGGTCATATGGGTCAAATGATGGTATCATCAGGTACAGGAGGTGGAAGCACTGCGGGTACTGCAAGTAGCATGCGTGCTATGTCAGATCAACAAACGCAGCAGCAAAAAAGATCAATGGCGTCATCCAATCAACCCCGTATGCATCCACAAGGAGGGATGCAACATTTGGTTGTTCAGTAGTATAACTGATGAGAATTGTGTTCTTCCTTTGAAATGATTTCCAGTTGTAATAGTTTTCCTCACAGTCTTTTGTGTAAAATATGGATTTCGTGTTCCCTCCTTGAGTTTGAGTTATCATTTGGCAGTATAGTTTTGTGAATGCATTACATTGACATTGCCTTGTCATTGCTGAACTTATTTTTGTTATCATGCAAACTGCTTATAAGTAACAGGAACGAAGTTTCCTTAAACTTTTGATAAGTAAATACAAGTTTTCAGATTATAAATGTTACGAATTTCATTGGTTAATATGTGCACCAAGTCAGATTGAATCATTATAAATTTAGTTAAAATTACAACAATTACTAGGAAGTTCGAGCATTTGTTCACTTTTTAATTATTCAGATAAATGGTGTTTTTCTCCCGGTTCCACACATTTTAGCAGTGCGCTCCTAAAATACATTGGAAATTTTATCATTCGGCCATTTAGCGATGTGGCAATATCTAATGATTAAGTTGAGTATGCCATTCTCACAACTGTTTTGGGACTAACTTTTAAAGTCATGGTTCATTATTGGATGTTTGAAAAATGTGTCTAGAAGTACGTTACTATTTGTCGTCCTAGGCGAAGATGCTGACAAAATGCAGAGTCTACTCGTACTCATACAGCCAGGTGAGGGCTTACGGCGAGCTGTCATCTGAACTGATGACGACCAGTGGTGTCCGTCAAGGATGCCCATTATCCCCTTTTCTATTCAACTTCATCATAGATATACTAATGGACTTAACCCTAAGTGACTTCAGCGATTCAGGGATTGACTTGCTACCGGGGAATAATCTCGTTGACTTAGAATATGCAGACGATATAGTCCTTCTAGGCGAAGACGCTGACGAAATGCAGAGTCTTCTAAACACCTTGAGCCGCAATCTACGAATGTTTGGCATGCGATTCGCTCCCGCCAAATGCAAGATGATGTTACAGGACTGGACTACATCGACGCCTAGTTTAAAAATAGGAAGTGAAGTGGTAGAGCACGTTGACCGCTTCACTTATTTGGGAAGTACCATCAGCCCCAACGGGTTGATCTCTGACGAAATCTCAGCACGAATACGGGAGGCTCGTTTCGCATTTGCCAGTTTACGACGACTCTGGCGTAGACGAGATGTTCGACTATCGACCAAAGAGCGTGTGTACTGCTCATCAGTCCGCTCCGTCCTCCTTTATGGTTGTGAGACCTGGCCACTCAGAATGGAAGACATGAAAAGACTAGCTGTCTTTGATCATAAGTGCCTGCGTTCTATTTCCCGTGTAAAGTGGCATAATAAGGTGAGCAACATGGAGGTTAGGCGTAGAGTTCTAGGTAAACAGGGGAAATCAATCGACGAAGTCGTGAAGCTACAAAGACTGAGATGGTTAGGACATGTGTTACGTATGCCAAGCCATCGCCTCCCTCGACGAGCTATGTTAGCGGATATAGGGTCAGGCTGGAAAAAAGCTAGCGGCGGTCAAACAAAAACTTGGCATCAGTCAATGAAATCCACAACAGTTGGTCTAAGCCACGTAGGAAGGTGTAGACTTCCAGGCTGGGGTCCTCGGGACGGTAAAAATCTATGGTTGGAAACAATTGGTGACATGGCTCAAAATCGTTCTCAGTGGCTAGCGCAGATGCATCCACTCCTTGTGACTTATGATCTTCAATGAAACTGTTTTGTATTTCTTTATTACTCCTTTGTCTCACACCTCTGCTCACCGTTTCTATTATGCTTTTCTTGTACTTTCTTCTCTTGCTTCGCGTGCTACACGGAATGTGGCGACTTGAACTTCCGCACATTTGTGCAAAGTTCTATGTCGAAAACAGACAGAGTCTTGTGAACAAGTTGAGCAGCAATCTTCAAATTTATGCCGTGGCATTCGCTCCTGTAAAATGTGAGATGATGCTATAGGACTGGAATACATCAACCCCCTGGTTTATAGATAGGGAATGAAATGGTTGGTCGGGCGTATTGACCATTCCACTTGTTTGGGAGGTTGCATCAGCCAACGCCAGTGGGTTGATCGCCAACGAAATCTCAGCTTAGATACAGAAGGCTAGTTTGACATTTTTCAGCCGACTTCCTCCATCGTAGACGTGATATCCAGCTGGCTGTCGACCAAAGGGTCTGTATACTGCTCAGCAGTTCGCCCCGTCCTCCTTTATGGCTGTCTGTGAGATGTGGCCATTGAAAGTGGAAGATATGTGAAGGCTGGCTTGCTGTCTTTGATTATAGGTGCCTGCATTGTGTTCCCCTTGTTAAGCGGTATAAAAAGGTGAGCAATATTGAGGTTAGGCTTCGGTTGAGTGCTAGATAAGGAGGAAAAATCAATCGACGAGGTTGTGAAGTGACATCGATTGAGGTAGTCAGGACATGTGTTACACATGCTTAGCCACCACCTTCCACGACCGACGGGCAATGTTAGCTAACATAGGATGGATCAAGTTGGAAAAGAGCCAGTGATGGTCAAACCGAGACATGGCTTCATCAGTCAATGAAATCCATAACAGTTAGTTTAAGCCAGTCACGTCGGGATGTGTAGACTGCCTTCCTGGTTCTGACCCTCTGGGTGGTAGAAACCAATGGCTGGCGACAATTGGTGATATGGCTCAAAGTCGTTCTCAATGACACAAATGAAGTCACTGTTCGTGATTTACTTTACCCAGTAAAACTCTATTGTTTTTCACCTTTATATTAGCTTTCCTTCACACTACTGTTTTATTTCACTCTCTCTCTCTGTTTGGAAAACCTTTTTACTGTCTTCTCTTGCTTTGCGTGCTAAATGAAGCGAGAGTAGCAACTGGAACTGGTGCATATCTTTGCAAAGTTTTATGTTGAAACCAGTTAGTCAGTCAGTTGCCAGGCGTAGTATGTCACTATTGCTGGTAACAAAGCTAAAGAAATCTTGGTGATAGGTTGAACATGAACGGGATTTTAGGAATCTGTATTGCTTCGGACTGACAATATTTGAGCTAAGCATATGTTTGAGGATGTCATCTTCAATTAGTCTTTGTATAATTCTAGATGCTATAGGTGTGATATTGATTGGCGTGAATTTGGAAATAAATGAATCACAGTCTGATTATTCTACGTTTGAATGTGTTATTCATCCCAGAGACTATCTTTGAACACAGACTTCGTGTTAAGGATCAGATATCTCTTCAGACGTGTTCAATCACTTAATCTCACCATGACAGTCGATGAAGTATTTCGAATTGCGCAATTATCCACAGTTGTGTTCTGAATCTGAAACTTGTCAGGTATTTGCTTTCATTGTCACTGATGGACCATCGTAGGTGTTGTGAAATGTCACACGTACTGGTATTCGTGTACACATTATTAGAACTCACTGAACATATCATCGATTTGAACCGCCAGATGTCTGTAAGATATGAGAGGAGGTAGCCTTCCTCGCAAATATGTTACAGATGTCCAATCTTCAAAATTCGATGCCCAATAAAGATGTGGCTGCATGGGAAATTCCCATATTTTATGATAAGAAGAAGAGACTGTATACTGCGAAGTATGTTTCCTGGTTGACGAATCACTTGGAAGAGCTGTGCAATCGTATTTGCGTTTAACGAGGAATTAATGAAAGCCATCAGATACTGGCAACTTTGTTCTAGAAAGTGTATTGCATATTTTTAGGAGTAATCTACAGAGGGATGAGTGAGTAGAGATCAGAGAAAGCGAGCAAAATATGAAATGATGTAATGAGAGTGAAATATAACCTATCAGTATAATTGTAGGTTGTGGTCAAATACTGATGGAAAGACGATGAAGTGGTCACATGAAATCTGTATTAAAAATGCTGTATTACTAATAAAGAGTTGTAGGGTGATTGGAAATTTACACTCCACTTGAAAGAATATAATGAAACAAAATAATGGGGAGAAGGTTGCTGTGGCCGTGGTAAAACGAGTATGTATTGCTTGTGACAGCATGGGGTCTTGTTTCAGGTGCCGATTAACCAGATGATTCCCCTATCCATAAATGGAATATTTGAAGTCCTTCCGTGCGACATAGAGGATCACTGTTTAAGAGCAGTACTACTGATGTTCTCCTTTCCCCCTCTGGCTAACCAGGCTGGACATTGATCCAGAATATGTTTGCGAACTCCACTTTGTGTAGAGTGGACATACTTTGCTCCATAGGAAATAGCTTACTGATAAATACACACTTAGATGGCCAAAATCGGTATTTCACCCTCAATGCTCGATTGTATCACCTTTCTGCTGGAGAGCCTGATTAGTCAGATGGTTATTTGAAATGTCTTCTTGAGACATTTCCAGAGGTGTAAGCGTGAAACTTAGGCACTGTGGTAGAGTATAACTCCATTATGGATAAACTTTTATTTTGATAAATCACAGTGTTGTATTCTAATGTTAACTGATGACGCTTCGAGTACAAATTATTGCTCATAATCATATCCAGTCATTGACACAACATTTTGCTTCATTTATATACATGCGTAAAATTGATCAGACATTTGAGTAAAATCAATGCAAGATAATGTACATTCAAAAATAATATTAATGTTATCAATCAAATACGATAAGATGATTTTTACAGCGAAAATAAGTGACTCGTTAGAATGGTTTCTTCGAATTTCCTCTTCAATGTCACATTTGAACTCTATGTTCGTGAAGAGCGTTTTCTTATCAGCAGTTGAAACTTTCGGTAACTGTGAGATTCTCAGGATTTCGTCGGGAAACCTATGTGAATGTAGTTCTTCCACGTAGCAACTCGAAAACAACAGCCATGCACATGGCTACAATTAAGTAGAACATGAAATATTTTCAAGGGAAACTGGAAGTGACTCACGTTACAAACATCAACGAATCCAATACGGCGTATAGGCAAATATCTGAAGGAATGTTGAATATCCTTACAGTTTTGGTAATCAACAATTGCCTTCATTAACTGACCACATACAGTGGGATAAACACAAAACTCATAAATGTGACGCTTTATGTTCAGCTTTCATGTTTCGGTGAATCGTAGATGCCTTTTGAAAAGCCTCCTTCATTTGTCTGGAATTTAATCATGGTTTAAGTGAATTGTTGTTTTCTTTCTGTACGGTGAAGTGAATAAAATACTTATGATGATCAGTATCACCATACGAACGAAACATACTGTATTAAGTTTATTGCAAGCCCAGTGAGTTGATTAAACTCCCATTGTAAAATAGTGAAATATCTAACATGGATTATAATACATGACCTCTGTTGGAAAGTTGTCAGCATGTGAAAATTTAAAATCTATGACCATTTGGCAGACTAGAACTAGCACTGTTTATGTGCAAATTATGTTAGT